AAGTTCCAACGGCCAGCTAGTTGGATTCTTGGAAAAGTTCGAATCACCTTGTAAGTTCATTGCGATCCAATCTGAAATATCCATGGACAAGAAGGAGTACATTTTATTAGGCACGATCAGATCATTCCAAGTCTGATAAGCAGACGGGCACCAACGTAAAACATGGTCGATGTCTTCACAATCAGCCCCGCGAATAGAACAACTCGAATCATCAGTAAACGAACGTGCTCATCATTTGTCATAAGCTTGATGCGACAAATAAGCCACACGAACAATTTAATTCGAGGAAAACCTTGAAATTTGTGGATAATGTTCCAAATTCGATTACTCGGGCCGATGACTTCACCATGTCGTACTGTATAAGCCGACTTAACCGTAACTGAACAGTCCTGTTTGTAATGCCCCCTACAGAACCAACCATTACTCCTGCTGCACCTAGTGGACCTCCTGAATCCAGAGCAACCAGCACCGAGGTTACTACTGAAGCACCATGTGTTGATGAGAAAGAAGTCTCAGAAGATGGGAAAAATGATGTTAGTAAGTCTGAAAAGAATGAGGGAAATAATCAGCAATCAGAGGAAACTGATGAAAAGGATCCTGGGTCCGTAAAGAGTGAAATTGAGAATATTGAACAGTCTGAAAGTAAGGAAGGACCAGTTTCCGAAGCTGTTGTTGATAAGGAAAGTAACGAGGATAAGGACAGTGCTCTTGTAAATGAAGAAACTCGAGGCCATTGATGAAAAACGGGCAGGAGATGTTAAGACCAAGGATGAAGACAAGAAAATTGACGAGACTGCAACTGCAGAAAACAAAGATAAGAGTAGTGAAAATGCAGATTCAACTGCAGAAGGTGCATCACTGAGTTCGTTCCAACAGCTTTCAAGTAGCCAGAATGCCTTCACGGGACTTGCTGGCACTGGATTTTCAACTTCTTTGTTCTCCTTTGGATATACTCCAAAGGATGTTTCTACTAGTTCTGTTCCACTCTTTGGACGGCCCTTCGGTTTGGTCTTTCAACAAACGGGAACTCTTCCCTCTTCAACGCATCCGGTACTTCAGTTGTTTCCAAGAAAGAGGGAAGTGGTCTTCAAGCCATGCCGGAGGTTCCAGTCAAGACAGGAGAAGAGAAAGAGAAAGTGGTATTCTCAGCTGATTCCGTACTGTTTGAGTTAATAGGTGGCGCATGGAAAGAGCGTGGTAAGGGAGAACTTAAGTTGAACGTGTCTACATCCGGGACGGAAGGAGCTAGGGTACTCGTGAGAGCCAGAGGGAATTAATTCTAAATGCAAGGCTTTATCCAGAAATGAAGCTGACAAACATGGACAAGAGAGGTATCACATTTGCCTGCATGAATAGTTCAGGTGAAGAGAAAGAAGGGCTGCCTACATTCTCATTGAAGTTCAAGGATGCTTCCATAGTTGAAGAGTTCCGTGCTGCACATTCGACTCTTTTCCCGCCTTTCCCTATATCGATCCTGGAGTTAAGCACGGTCAAGGTATGCAACATTCGACTGTTTTTACAGACAACTGTGCCATGTATTTCATATGTTGTAATTCTGAATTCACCCTTGAATTCTAAGCTCCACTGTATTACCAAAAACTGACCTTTCTGCATTATCTCTTTTTGGACGATGGTTATGTACTGCACTGAGTCTAACTCAAAAATAAATCTCTGTTATATTTGCAAAACTTTTGATGAAATATTACAATTCTAATACTTTTAGGACGTGTGCATATGTTTATATTATTTGAGTTAACCCCCATATTTGTTAAAATTACAAATTTCATTGAGATAAACATATTAATTGAAACTGATGTATTTTAATTGTTAATTTGGAAAAGAATTTATTACTATAGTTTAATAATAAAAAGAATAATAAATTATATAAATAGTCCATCAATTTTGGGTAAGGTTTTGTTTTTATTGTTAATGTTTCAAAAATTATATTATAATCACTAAGATTATCTAGTTATTACATTTTAGACATCCATATCTTATTCAAGAGTAATGAATTAAAGATGTGACATGTTAATAAATAAAATGATTAATACCTAATTTAAACAGTAAACTATATATAAAATATTAATTTTTACAAGTTCTTATAAACTATATATAAACTATACAGTTTGGACATCCATAGTCATCAGATATCCAACTACAATGACTGCTTTTAACAAAGAGAATAAAACTTACATGATTATCAATGAAAATACTTTGAATGTTTGAAAATATAATTTTAAATAAGACAGTTCAAATTATTTGAAGAAAATCAATGGACTGACAACTTTGCAAAAATTATTGTTATAATCTATAGATCATATGATAATGAATTAAAAGTATGATTAGGCCCAAATGGTGAGTTAAGGGGGTGTCTTCGAGAATAAGGAGGATTAAATATGTAATTTTTCTCTTGGATCCATCTTCAGATTGTCAGCCAGTGTTTTGAAGAAAATAAACTCTATAATGGCGAAGTTCTTTTGGGGGGTTCGGAGGAAAAGAAGATGATACATTGGGTTAGGTGGTCGATCGTATGCCAACCTAAGGTGTTGCGAGGCTTAGGCATTATTGACCTCAATTTACTGAACCGTGCCCTCCTTGGAAAATGGTCTTGGAAGTTTGCAACTGAGAAAGGCGTGGAAAAGGTTGGTGTGCAGCAAGTATAGTGTAAACCCAAAGATTGTACGGATTGAAAATGTTTCATCCCCTAGAGCTTCATGGATTTGGAAACGGTGGTGAACAATAATGGGAAAAACAATGATTTTAGGAAGTGTTTTCAGAATCACCTTTAGCCTAAGGTGGGTAAGGGAGAGTCTTTTCGTTTTTGGCAGGACATTTGGTTAGGCAGCTCCCCTCTAAAGTCTCAGTTTCCGAGACTGTTCACTCTCTTGGTCAACAAAGAGAGGACGATTGCGGATTTTAGATGTTGGAACCAATCGAGTTGGTGTTGGAACATTTAAATAAGATGTAACCTTGCTGATTAGAAAGTGGAGCAGTGGCTGAATCTCAACTCTTTACTGTGCAATTTCTCTTTTGAGACAGTGGAAGAAGATTGCTGCTTATGGTCTGGGAACAAGGAGGGGACCTACTCGGTTAAGTATGTGTTAGATTAATGTATGATCGATCAACCTCCAACCCTATTTGGTCGAAGCAAGTCTGGATTGGGTTGCCCCCCGAGAGTGGAGTCTTTCGTTTGGCAGGCAATCCATCAGAAGCTGGCTGTGAAATCAGAACTCCTGAAATGTGGCATTTCTAGTTTAGAGGACGTGTTATGTCCACTATGTGGGTTGGAAACAAAAATTGTTAACCACTTATTGGTGTCATGCAAGGTGGTGTGGGATCTTTGGTGCAATTGGTTTGGAATGTCTCTACTGCCTTGCCTCATAACCTTGGAGACCTCCTAGTTACTTGGTCGGATCTTGTCCCTTGCTCACACATTTGGACTTTTATTCCAGAGGCAATTATGTGATCGGTGTGGAAGTGTAGGAACACGATAATTTTTTAGAATGACTCGCTTGTTCAAGTTCAACTTTCTTTCCTTACTATATTCAAATTGGCTTCATGGTTCTTTGCTAAGTTTCCTAGTGTATCGGTGTAGTTTGACTGTCTTGTGGGTGATCCATCTTTGGCGGATCTTCAGTTGTCTATGAAAAAGGTCTCATCCTCCTCAGGTTTTTTCAAGGTTAACATAGATGGAGCGATGGATAAGGACTGGCAAAGCGGTGGCATTGGAGGATTATTACATAACTCGAATAGGGAGTTGTTGGGGTCTTTCTCGAAACATGTTGGGCTTGGTCCTCCTATCTTGACTGAACTAATGGCAATTAAAACTAGCCTACGCCTCTTCATTGAGTCAGGTGAGGGTCTAAAGGAAGATTGGTTATGGAGTGTGACTTTTAATACCTTAGAGTGGATAAAAAATCCTGGCACATAACTAGCCCTGTTTGAGACATTTTTAAAGGAAATTGCTGCTAAGGTGTTGGATCGTAATGTAATTTTCAAACATATTCAAAGATATGCGAATTGAAAGGTTGATGAACTAAAAAAGTTGGAATTTCGTTAAGAGTTCTTATGTAGTCTACTATGTGTTTTTGCCTGTATGTAGGAGGTTTGGATCATGTTGCTAGGTGTCTATTTCTTTTGTAGGTTCTATATACATCTTGTACTCTTGACAGTTTGGCAATAAAATTGTGACACTCTTTTTCTCATTCCAACATCTATTGAAACACCTTTCGTAATGAAGGGTTCTTTTAATGAGACTTTCTTTTCTTATAAAAAAAATAATATGAGGCTTTATTAAATACACTTTGCGAGATTGACAGAAGATGCTTGTAGAAAACGTTTTTAATGACTTGTACATCATGTGGAGAAGGCGTTCTATATAGAACATATCTTTACCTTATATGGCAAAAGTGAGTACTGAATTAAAAAATAATGTTGAATGAGTACCATATTAATAAATAATTTTTAAAGACTTAATACACTTTTAGATAATTAAATTATACTTAAATTAAATTTTAGTGTTTAAAGATTTTTTTTTGTTAAAAATAGGTTTCTAATATTTTATCCGTTACACTTTTATATGTATATTGTTAAAAAATTTGTTAAGTGTCAAGTTTTTATTTTTTTTAAAATAATATTATTTAAAAATATTTTTTTTAAAATAAATATAAAATGTGTCACTTAAAAAAATAACGATAAATATTTAAAATATAACGAAAAAAATATTAATCATATGTTTTTAACAAAAATTTATTTAAACATCAAAAATCAATTTAAAATATAATTTAAACACCTAAAATATATATTAACTCAATAATAAAACCTTAGAAAGCTCATGCTTTCCACGTAATCCCCAAACACCCCCCCCCCAATTATTAAAACGAAATTTAAGTCACGTTTAATCTCTCCGCAAACTTCCAATTCAATTTTATCCCAAAAAAAAACAAAAATCCTTCCTAGATCCTATCCTATTAAACTATAAATTAAAAGGGTTATTTCTTCTTTCAATTTCAAGGCTCCTAGGGTTCTGATTCTCTTCGAGTTTTTAGGCGATTGATTTTTTAACGTGTTTCTTTTGTTTCGTAATAAATTTGTGAAATTCGCGACTTTAGTTCTACGAGTAAGTGATGGCTACAACGGGAGAAGAGGAGATGGACTACGAGAGTGATCCAGAGGAAGTGAACCGTTCTCTGGCGATGCGAAGGAGAAGGGCGGCGAGTGACGATGAGGAAGACGAGAGGGGAGTGGATGATAATAATAATGCAGTGGCGATGGATCTGAGAGTTGCGGTTCAATCTGATGAATCCGACGGTCAGGAAGGTGCTGCAGATTATGATGACGATGAAGTAGAATTGGAGTTAGAAGAGGAGGGTGAGGAAGAAGAAGCATATTATGATGAAGAGGAGGAAGAGGATATTGATGAGGAGGAGATAGAAGAAGTGAGAAGAAAGGAAGTGGAAGGGAATGTGGAGAGAACTGGAGGAGAAGCATTGGTGGATGATGGGAATAGGAATGTGGATAAGAGAGTGGAGATTAGTAATAGTAATAATCTTGTTGGAGAGGAAGATGAGGAGGGAAAGAAGGAGAATGAGCCATTTGCCGTGCCAACTAATGGGGCGTTTTATATGCACGATGATAGATTTGGAGACAATGTCGGCGGTCGTCATAGGTATTCGGTTTTATTCTTTTGTTTTCTTTGCTTTTCTGGGTGTAAATTGTTATGCTAATTCATGAAGTTTGAAACTATTTGAGAATTAATTAGCAATTCATAGAAAAGTATATGGTTACATGGTTGAAACTAGAATGCTCACTTGTCGCCATGTACTTCCCTTTGCAGACATTTGAAGCCATATATATTTTTATGCATACTTTTAAGTATGTTCATTTAAACTGCAAATGTGCTTATCGGGTGGTTTTGTCGCCTATGATGTGCATGCTCTGTATGCAGCTTTTTATGTTTTTTTATCTTGAACCCTGAATCATTCCGTGATTTATTGGGTACAGGGAAACATAAGGTTGTAACGAGCATGAGAGCTTAACTTGCCCTACTAGACATTTATGACTGATGATAAATATAAGTATCTAATTTTAACAGTTGGGACTGGGACGAGGAGTGAAGATATGAAATGTGATAATACACTTGGTTACTGTTAAACTACTAGACATACATCCCAGTTGTCTTCCTTGTAAGACCTTGAAAGCTACCTGATTTGATCCAGGCATGAGCTAGTTGTCAGGACCTTGATTGTAAACCATTGAGTGTCCCAATGTAAGAGTAAATGTAATCTCAATTGATCAAATGTTACATCTTGCCCAAGTGCCCAGCCTGGAACATTGTTATTTGATGACATTATAAGAGCTTATAAGTTATTATTACTACTCCTTGGCTTCGGTTGCTTATGAGTAGAGAAAAGTAATTTCCAATTCTAAATTTTCTTTTCATACATTGTGTAAATACCGTGATAACTATGCAAAATTCTAACATCATTAGTTTTTTTTCTGCTCCAAATATTTATTTTTATCCTTATTTTCTGATGATTTTATCATTTTTATATGGGTATTATCATGTGTGTAAAGACTAACTATGATATAGTCTTGTGCACATATTTTGTAAAATATTATGCTTCTCATCCAATTCTTGGCCTATCAATTGGACTGTTGAACTAATATCTTAACAACTTTGCTATGGTTACTTTATAGTGCTTCAGATTCAATCTCTTATGGGGTCAATCCCCATTGTTGTATTCTGATTTTCTCCACAACCTGGGGTTCTTCTTCCCTTTCCATTCAAGTTATATTAAAAGTCCTGAATTGTGTATTAATCTGTTTTGCACGTATTAGGCGAATGAATGGTGGAAGGAAATTGTGGGAATCCAAAGATGACGGGAAATGGGGACATGACAAGTTTGAGGAGATGACTTTGCAAGAAAAGCAGTATAAAGAGGCAAGGGTTTTGTACATATCCATCTTGCAGGATTAGTGTTTCTTTTCTTAATCTCATTTTATCTTTTTCGTTTCCCTATTGATATGTTTTGTCTTCCACATTCAGGGAAGAAAATCTTCTAGAGGTAGATATCGTGCTCGTAGTAAAAATCGGGTCCCAGATCATGGTTATCCTAGGGGAAGTAGGTCCAAAGCATTTGGGAAAAACTACAATCAGAATCAGGCTCCTAAGACTGTGAGAGGGAGAGGGACTAGGAGATATGAACCTTCTATGAAAAACAGCAGTCAAGCACCTCCAATGCTGAACAAACCGTGAGTATATGCATCTTCCCTCCTAGTTTTCTAATGTTCCTACCACGATTAAGTTTGCATGACATTGAATGATTTATATATTTCAGTTCTGGGAAGCCTGTTGAGAAAACTGCACAAGCCCATTCAAGTAGAGCTTTCACACCTTCAACAAATGCAGACACTGTATCAATGCCTGCTAAGAAACACATTTTTGCGTCAAGCTTGAGTTCAGCTTCCCCACCCTTTTATCCGTCAGGGTCTTCCAAGAACGACAGTTCTTTGAATCAGAAGAAGGATTTCCAAGCTGGAAGTGTCAGCAGGGATCTTCACCCCTCTGTTGCAAATAAGAAATCTTCTGTATTTGAATCCGATTCATTACGAGGAAAGAATCCACTTGATTATATCAACATGGCAAAGCTTTATATAGATGATTCCGTCACATCAGCTTCTGCGAAGCCTTTGACTAACGTGCAAATGCTACCGTCTGGATCTTCATTGGATAATAGTGGTCAACCCTCTCAATCCAGTGTACAGGGTAGAGGCATAGCTATCCCAGGGCCGAAGACTTATCAGCCAGCACCACGGCAGAACCAAGTCAATAGAGTTTCTCCACAAACAATTCCTGTTCAAGGCAGGGCTCTCTTTTCTGTTCAAGCAGCTGCTCAGCAGTTGGGCCAGCATCCTGGTATTGGGTCTAGAGCTTCCTCTCCGCCAAAAACAGCTATGTCAGTCAGTTCCTATGAATCTGGAGAGGTTGAAGCTTCAGAAAAAAGTAAACCCGAGGGTGCATTGGCGAGCAAGGGAAAAAGCAGTATTCAAGGAGCCAGAAGGGGCTCTTATCTGTATGGTGGAGCTCATATTATTGGAACTACAGGGAATATGTCTATTAGCCATGGCGATCAAAACTTTCCTGCCTTTTTGCCTGGTAAAGCATTTCATTTTTCTTTTAACCCATTTGTCTGGATTACATAATCCTACCATAGAAGGTAAAATGTGAAATGTGGTAAATTGCCTTAACTGGAGAGGTGCATATTAGTTCCTGGGTCCTAAATCCCATTTTTTTGAATTTTTTTATGAATTAAATTAAATGGTTTATTAAATATTAAAGGTGGTTTTTATCTGAATATTTTAATGGCCTTATGTTTAAGACCAGATGGAGCTTTAGTTCCTTGAATGTTGTTTTGATTAGGGTTATGCTTTTTCTGCAGTGCTTTGAAGTTGGAGTTTGAGTTTATTTGCATCTAAAATTGATATTATGTGATGTTTAGGAATAGCTTTTATCTATTTAGTTGCTTAGATTCACTTCTAATATTCTTTGTTTACTCTTGGACAATTATCTGCTTTTCTATTTCCTGCTATTGAACTTTTCTATAGCCTCAATTTATTTTATTTTTTCCCTGAATGGTTGGTATGTAGTTATGCAACTTGGGGGTCAGCACTCTGGTGGTCTTAGTGTTCCTGCTGTTGGCATGGCATTTACAGGATATGTTTCCCAGCCGCAACTTGGACTGAGAAATTCGGAAACGACATGGTATGGTAATTCGTTTTCTGTAGAAAAGTTGGTTCTGTGGATTATATTTGATTTCTGTAGACAAATAAGGGTGATCTCCCAGTCAGGTCTTGAACTGGCCAATTGATTTTCTTATGGAGGGAATTACCTGTTCATAATGAAACATAACTTAGGAATTATGAGTCAGTGGTCTGACTCCCACCAGATAAGCCTTTTTTGGCCCATCGCATTGAGCATGGACACTTTTTTGGATATTAATGCAAGGCTAAATCTCTCTTGATGCCTTATTCAGATTCTTGTCATTCTGATCTATTCATCTGTTTAAGCCAAATGCAGTAATTATTTTCATTTTCTTGTTTAGGCAACCAGTATTGACAGGTGCTGGTGGGGCACTAGGAGGAACATATTGTCCACCTTATATCGCTTTCGATGGGGCTTATAATGCTCGTCCATCGGGACAGACATCTTCAACAGTATCCTCAGGGTTAGTATCTTGGTTTTTGGTTTCTCCACCTGCTTGATTTAAATAGCATTGGCTGTCTCTGTTTTCCTTCTTGCCAGAGTGGGAAAGGAAATATTAACTGTATTAGTCTGAGAAACTTGAAGCATTCTACATTTGCCTTTTCGTCTTTGTCTTGAAGGTATCTGGTTGGAATGTCCTTTCAAGATACCCCTTTAATCAGGATTAAGACATGCTTACATTCAGTTGAATGTGTTTATCCAATATCTTATTCTTTATAGAAATCCCACCGGTATGTTTGGTGTGAAATGCCCAGTCTTTTGAAGTATCATAGTATTGTCAGTTTACAGTGAGCTATTGACCTTTTACATAGATTAACTTCAAAACAGATAATAATTGTTTAAAGATGTTTTGAAGTAGTCTTTATTGGCTTGACGTTTGTGTTACTTTATCTCTGTAATGGTCACCGAGTTTCCTTTCGAATTGCAAATTTTGCAATATTCTTTTATTAGATCATTTGATAATAAAAGTCATGTATCCTTGTAGATAGATGTTTATAATTGACAATGAGGACAATGTCTCAGATTTTTTCTTTTCTATATACTTGGGGGTTGTGTCAGGTTGAGTGAGGCAAAACTACTAATGAAATCTAAAGATACTGGCAGTTTATCTTGTATTTACAAATTATATGTGGCAATTTGTGTTGCTTGCTCTGCTTGTTTCAATAATAATTAATCACCTTTTAATGAAATCTAAGATGATTGGCAGTGTAATTGGTTTTTGTTTTAATTTACAAATTATATGTGATGCTTGCCTGATTGTTTTAATAATATTTAGTCACCCTTCCTTTGCAGCAATGAAAATACTTCTAACAAACCAAACAGGGAATGGAAGCCTTCCCAAAGACCAGGTAAGGGGATTTCTGAACATAGACCTTCCCACTTGATATGTTTTGGTTGTTAAACAAGTCAACTCCTATGCAGAGCTTGTGAGTGATGAACTTGGGCAACGACAAAATAACTCAAATAAGCAGCCCCGCAGGCAAGTTGAAACTCTTGAGCTTTTCCCGTGGACCAATTTATAAAAAAATGAAACCCCTCTGTTTGTATCATCTTCTATATGTAAGCGAATTTATTTGTTTATACTTTGTTCCTATGCAGATATTCAGAGATGAGCTTTAGCAAGTAATTTGATTATTAAAGATGAAGCCCTGCCTTGGTAAACTGCTAAAGGTGAAAATCATGCAATGAAAGTTATTACTATCCTCATGGATGTTTGGAATTTCTTATTTGTGGATTACTTGGCGGTGTAGACCTTTCTTACAGCCCCTTTATGATGTCCAGCTTATGACTTGGACCAGTTCAGGCCACAATATATTCCCTGGATATTGTAGGTAAGTCGTGCTCCATCCATAGATAATGCTCTGCTTGATCAACAACAACAAAAAAATGAGCGTAAGTAACAATGCAGTTTATATGTCTGCATTTCCCCTCATCTCCCCAATGAGATTGGACATTTTTCTGTAATTATGGGCACATCGTAAAGGTCTTTTGAAATAAAAACATCATGTATGTCGTAATATTTGGTGACGGTTTAGAGATTGTCATTGGTTAAAAGCCTTTCTTGCATTTAGGCGGTTTTAAAGCTTTTTTTCTTGCGTGCTTAAACGAGTTCAGAATCAGTAGTTCATCTTTGTACTTATTTTTCTTTGTCATTGATTGGAGCTGCCCTTGTTCATTCATTTTAACCCTGAACGTCTCTCATTCTGGCAGTTGTGTATGACAAATGCCTGCTCACGTTCTTCAGTTTGAGAATATTATTGTGGCTTGACGGGTGGCATTCCTATGTTTATATGTGCGGTATGAATATACATATATATACACACACGCACATTAGATAAACTAATCTTCTTTTTCTCTTAGTTACGACGCAAAAATTCATAAAATTGTTATTATTGTTTCCTAAAAGGTTTTTTTTTCTAGTGGCTTGATTTTGTAATGAAGCTTATGAGAAATTTAGGAAGTACGAACAAGAATGATTGTGCATTGATGGTGATGGTTTTCTTATTTCTCTTTGGTGGGCGTACTTATGTGGATGACGAGTTAAGCCTGGTGTTTGAGCGTACACTATCAATCAATGTTTGAGAATTGTTCTTATTTTAAGGTTGTCTAGTTATTGAGATATTGCTCAGTATGATCCTTCTTTCATGTGGGAATCGTTAATTTAATTAGATTATGTAGTAATTTGTTTAGCACTCTACCTTAATGCCCATTTAACCAATTACAATATCTGAGACTATTGATAACCATGTGCATTATATCTGGAATGGATCCGAATCAAAGTGGTAAATGGAGTGTAGCTCTCCCAACAACGTCTTTTTGTCCACAGAATTACAACTTAAAACGTTGTTTACACTCAATCCAACATCATCTGTGTATTTATTTATAATAGTCATTTAATAAGCATCACCCTGGGTAAAGCGTGCAGGAGGTGTTGATTTTAATGAATGAGTTTACCAATACAAAAGTTGTTGGAAGTTTGGTCAATGCTCTCTTTCACGATTGATTCCTTCTCCGTTTTGACATTTGGCAACGCCAGCTAGCAGCCAACGGAACCTGATACAGCCTATGCTACCGGAAAATGAAACCTTGTTTTGTTTGTTAAATATTGCAAGGGTGCTCAATCGGTGGTTGCAGTTATTGGACTGAATTGATATGTTTTCTGTTAATTCAATTGATTAATTTAGTTAAATCGAAGTTTAAATACTCTTAAGGTTAAATAATATATATATAATATTAAATATCTAAAATTTTGATTAATTCAGTTAGTTAATTGATTTTTTTTAGTTTGATCGGTTAAAATCAAACTTTTAACACCCCTAAAATATTGGGTAAGTGTATTTTTTTGTTGCTTAACTTTAACATTTATGTGTAATGTGATATTTTACCTATTTTTTAGCAATTAATTATCTAGTTTTTTTTATTAGTTTGCGATGATTATAAGGTAGTATATGTTTAAAAGATTCTCAATCATTTAACAAGTAAACACTCATGTAGCTTTGCAACGACGTGTTCAAACCTTGAACTAAAGATAACAATCATCTGCTTAATCAGGTCTTTTGGTCCGTGCAAGTACCTAACTTTATTTAATGGTGAGATTCGAAATCTAATTCTTCTAATGGTAAAATTAGATGCTTAACCTTTTTAATGATGCAATTAGTTATCTAATTTTTTTAATAATTTAACTATACCTAACCTTTTTTTATGGTGTAATTAGCTAATTAGGTATCTATGCTAATTGCACAAAAGAAAAAAAAAAGCTTAGGTACTTAATTGCAACAAAAAAAATGTTGAATGTCACATTACACATAAAATATTAACATTAGATACCAAGACATTATACCTTTTTCTTTCAAAATAAAGATAATAGTTTAGTTAAACTACTCTTTAAATTGAATACTTGCAATTTTTATACAAATAAATAAATGTATCCAATGGGATTCAGTCACCCATAGTTTGATTTGGTAAAGCTCCAATAATCAAATCAAATCAGTTTCAACCCATCTTTTAAATAAACTAAAGGTAAATCCAACAACCATAGCCCATAATATATAGTAATAATTAGTGATAATAACTCACCAACCCCTCATAATATAATCAATTTCCTTTATTATTAAATATGGACTATAAAATAAATATTATAAAAAGATAATTCTCAAAATAAAGAAATTAAAAACTGGAAAAACCCAAAACCAAATTGGCAAATTGTTGGGATCAGCAAACAACAGCTAAGCTGCACGTCTTCTCCCGATAATTGACCATCGTAACTTGTACACCGTCCGATTTACATAAACAACAGCAACGCGCGTGATCAGAACCATCCACACCGCTGTTTCAAATATCCGTTCCACACGTGTTTGACTTGCACGTGCGATCTATTTTAATTAGAGAAAAACAAATAAACAAACAAAAAGTTTCAGAGTAATTCAGACAGCTCCGTCTCTCTGCATCTTCTTTCTCCTTCTCGCTCGGTCCTTTTAAATTTGTTTTCCTCTACAATGTAAGCTTGGATCAATCAAGAACGAAGATCAAGAAAGAGAAAGAAAAGAGAACAATTTCTCCAGTCTCTTCGAATCTCTTTATGTAAGCTAAACTAGCTGGTCTTCCTTTTGTTTTTGTTTTCCGTTTGCTCTTAAGAAATTTTATTATATATTTTGCTTTCTTAAGTTTTAGTGCTTTGTTTTTTCTTTTCTGACGCTCTTGTAACAGATAAAGTTCAACTAGATAGTTCCTTGACTTTCCCCCTAGCTTTGATAGTTTGATATTCGAGTGCTAAATTAGTAAGAAGCATAAGATTTTGCTTGGTTTTCGAGAAAATGCCAGAAACAGAACTATGGAATGTAACGGGATTTGAAGAGATTGTTTCTGTTCCGTTATGAAACTGCGTGGTTGCTGAGGGAAGTATATGAAAAGGAGAGGAAAAAAGGATCTCGATTTATGGAATGTGGATTTTTATGGTCGATATTCTGATTGCTTAATAGAGTGGTAGAGAACGATTGGGAATAGAAAGTAGTTTTCGTATTGCCATTGTTCGGTAGGATACATATTAGTCCTTTTATTTTATGTTTTAGTATTTCACGAGCTTCTCAATATCCGAGTTACATAGAGGATTATATGTTTTAACTTTATTTTAGGATTCCCTAACCTTTTGGAACGCCAACTTGTAATTAGCTTTGGGTGTAATTGGATTTAATTACACAGTTTTAGCGTGTTTGGACAACTATTATTTTAAAATTTGAACTTATGTAATTATAATTTGTACTAACAAACATGATATGTAGAATTACACTATAATTACATTCTTTCAGTCAACATTTTTAAGGAATTAAAATTCATAGTAATTACGTTTTCATGGAATTACAATGTGGTGTCGAACACGGGTTTAATTATTTGTTTAGGTTGTATTTATTCCATTCCATATAGGACTCCTCTTATTAAATCCCATCCCATATAGAAATCGTCTTATATAAATATCTATGGATAATCTATTATCTATGAAATACAAGTCAGTTGCCACCTTTACCGTTATAATCATTGATAGATTTATGAGAAAATATAACCAAAGATTTACCTTTGACATGAAATAACTTTGTAAGTTGAGATTGTTGGGGAAAAAAGGAAATGATATCTCACTTTTTTGTCTTCTGGTAGTCTGAAATAGAATATCACCTTGGACAAATTTAATTTTCTCAAATAAGATGAGGCTGTTGTTTGTTCGTCACGTTACTTGCTTCTTTCTAGTAAATTTCTGGAATTAATACAAGACTCGGTAGCTTTCACGAGAATATATTATTTTTGTCCATTCCTGACCTTTTATTATGCCAACCATATATATATATATATGTTGTTTAATGCATAAGATATTGATGCTGTTGTCAGAAGGACGTCTAACCTATATTCTCTTCATTCATGTAGGTTTGAATTTTAGAAAGTTGTAGAAGAAGGTGCTTTTAAGAATTTTGGAGCTAGAACGAACATAGACCTTTAAGTGCTGTTTGTTTTAGGAATTGACTAACATATGAAGAATACTGATTTATCTTGTCATCAATATACTATAGCCAGAAGCTAATGGAGGAACGTATCAGCAAGGGACTATCATCGTTAAGGCAAGGTAGCTTTAAGTCCAGTTTGTCTGGAAGATCAACTCCTAAGAGTTCTCCTACACATCGGAGATTGAATTCAAGCCGAACTCCAAGAAGAGAAGCTAGAAGTGGTGCTGGTGGTACGCAATGGTTTAGGAGCAACCGTGTAGTCTATTGGTTGCTTTTAATCACTCTTTGGGCTTACCTTGGATTCTATGTCCAATCCAGGTGGGCACATGGTCATAACAAGGAGGAATTTTTGGGTTTCGGTGGTGATCCAAGAAATAAGCTTGTGGATGCTGAACAGCAAACACGACGAGATTTGCTTGCTGATGACAGTTTGGTTGCAATGAATAATGGAACTAATAAAACCCAGGTCTACGGTGATAGAAAGATTGATGTGATTTTGGCCAAGAAGGGGAATGGCGTTTCATCCAGGAAGAAAAGGAGTAAAAGAGCGAGACGTAATAATTTGCACAAGATGCGTGGTAAATTGAAGGCAAAGATGAACATTGAAAATGATAGCACAGAAGGGCAAGAACAGGAAATTCCGATGAAAAATTCTACTTATGGATTACTTGTTGGTCCATTTGGATCTGTGGAGGACAGAGTTCTGGAGTGGAGTCCTGCAATGCGGTCCGGAACATGTGATAGGAAGGGGGACTTTGCACGCCTTGTATGGTCTAGAAGATTAGTGTTGGTATTTCATGAACTCTCAATGACGGGGGCTCCAATTTCAATGATGGAGTTGGCAACAGAGCTTTTGAGCTGTGGAGCCACAGTATCTGCTGTAGTTCTCAGTAAGAAAGGAGGATTAATATCGGAGCTTGCAAGAAGAAGGATCAAAGTGATTGAAGACAGAGCAGATCTTAGCTTCAAAACTGCCATGAAGGCAGACCTTGTGATTGCAGGGTCAGCAGTTTGTGCAACGTGGATTGGTAAGAAAATTATTGGAAAAATGTTTATATTTTTAAGATATTGCTTATGCTGATATGAAGCTCAGCTATCATTTGACACAAGATTGCTGCTTTCTTTTAGCCGCATAGTGTTTTAACCTCATGGTATATGCGTCTGTGTGTGTATACATTATATGTAAATTTGTACTTTTTTTAGTTGCATTGGTAAACTATGTATATGCATTTAATTTATATGGTCCAAGATGTTACTGTATTTAAATTATGCCCCTAAAATTATAAGAACCTCAGTATGTAGATAGACTTCCATGGATTGCTCGAATTTGTTGATAGTAACTGGGGAGTAGTGTAGACACTTTTGAGTCGAGATGCAAAAATTTTCTCTAATGACGTAGTGGACACCAATTCTATTACCAAAGCTGATTGCGCTTTTATGGTCCCACGCACACTCATGCATTAACCTGAATCTTGATTATTGTTATCTCAGTCCGCCAACCTGCTTGTGGAATAGCACGACACATTTAGCTTAAGGTTTTGAGATCATTGTCAAAAATTCTTTATCTATATTCAACATTGTTCTTCTTATGCTCTGTTATCATTACCTGAACCATTTGAAAACCTATTGAAAATGTTTATGTGCATACTTGTGTTCTCACTCTAGTTTTCTCTAAAATCTTGATTAGAAAACCTGAATTTTCATTTTTGGTCTACCTCCTTATGTTATCTTTAGTTGTTATTTCCTCTAAAGCATAACTGCCCTAGTCCCTTTGAGTACTTATTCATAAACATATGATGGTTTCAGATCAATATATTGCTCATTTCCCAGCTGGAGGAAGTCAAATTGCTTGGTGGATCATGGAAAATAGAAGAGAATACTTTGATCGGTCAAAGCTTGTACTAAACCGTGTGAAAATGCTTATTTTCTTATCTGAAATGCAGAGTAAACAGTGGCTTACCTGGTGTCAGGAGGAAAATATTAAGTTGAGATCTCAGCCTGCTCTTGTTCCACTTGCTGTTAATGACGAGCTGGCTTTTGTAGCCGGCATTCCTTGTTCTTTAAATACTCCTGCTGCTAGCCCAGCAAAGATGCTAGAGAAAAGGCAGTTGTTGCGAGATGCAGTTAGAAAAGAGATGGGTTTGACAGATAGTGATATGCTAGTAATGTCACTAAGTAGCATAAATGCTGGAAAGGGCCAACTCTTTCTTCTGGAATCAGCAGGCCTCGTGATTAATGAAGATCCTTCACAAACTGATTCTGAAGTTAAAAAATCAATGAATATCAGGCAAGATCAATCTAGTTTGGCTTCAAAGCATCATTTAAGAGGTTTGCTTCAAAAGTTGGGAAATCTTAATGTATCTTCTACTGAATTGAGGTCATTTAGCTCTGCGAATGCAACAATTGATGTCAGCGTCAACAGTACGCTTGGAAGGAAGATGTATGATAGCAAAGGAGCACAGGAACACGCCCTTAAAATTCTTATTGGTTCTGTTGGATCTAAGAGCAATAAGATACCTTATGTCAAAGAAATTCTAAGATTTTTGTCTCAGCATGCAACATTGTCTGAGTCTGTACTTTGGACTCCTTCAACCACACGTGTGGCTTCACTATATTCAGCAGCAGATGTTTATGTCATGAACTCTCAGGTATTCGTGTGCTTATCTTTTAGTTTTTAATTAAATTACTCTTATTCTTCTACTCTGTATAGTAGATTTGAATGCTAATGTTTGTTATCTTTAGTATGTTTCAGATGGAAATTTTCGCATATAGCTGGCCCTTTTATATTATTATATAGCTCCATTGCCCACATAATAAATGCTTTAGTAGTATTGTGTTCCATATGAATAGGGTAGAGAATTGTGCTTTTTTCTAGTAGTTTTTTCTTTTCATTGATTCATTTATTTGCACTATCCTAGATCTCTGATCAGTACATTGCTAAAGCACTTAATTGTCATAAACAGTCTTTTTGTGATGCATTGATGAATTAGTAATCGAATCGCTGATTCGAACAGCTACATGATTTCAACAGTTTGAATATTATTTCTAAAAAACAACATATTGCACACTGGCATGATTAAAACATCTTAGCTCTGGTTAATTATGAATCTCAATTTATATTCAAATAACATTCAACTTAGCTGATACTTATTTCTAAAATATATTATTATTTGTTTTGAATTAAATGGATAACATGTTATGGTATCTGCACTTTATTTACAGGGTCTAGGAGAAACATTTGGGAGAGTGACAGTTGAAGCAATGGCATTTGGTCTACCGGTAAGACACCTTTACGTTTCTGATTTGTTTATGCCTCCATGTGATAGCTACTTTTGGATGTTATATTGCTTAAGCTTGTAACATCATGTGCTCTAGGAATATCACCTGCTATGCATTTTCATAAAATCCCATGATTTACTGGGTTGTATCTCATCCTTTCACATGAAGTTCCATTGTAGTTGTCTTCATCTTCCTCGTAAATGATCTTCTGAATTTTTGTCGAGATTTGTGGCATTAGTCTTATGATTCACCTGCACGCATGCATACATGTTAGAGTTCTGGATCTTGCCTGACATTGAATCGAGACCACTTATTCTGTTAGATTCAAAGTAGGAAATTTCTTGCTATGTAAGTTTCCTTTGTAATCGAGTAATCTTTTGTTTTCCGGCCGTTTCTACTGTCATTATCTCCATATGTTATTACAATACATCATTCAAATCTCTATCCGCTTGTGTACTTCCAAGTGCAAATGCATACATGTTTGAATATTAGGGTTGATTTCATAATAAGCGAGTTTGGTTTTCTTGTTTATTTATGTCCTGAATCGGAAAGCTAGCACCCTTTATTTAGTTATGCCTAGATTTGGAAGTCGAAATATAACTGGCAAATTGAAAATGTACCTGACCTGGTCACAGGTTTTGGGAACTGATGGTGGTGGCACAAAAGAGATAGTTGAGCAAAATGTGACAGGGCTTTTGCACCCGACGGGGCGTCCCGGAACGCGAGTTCTTGCCGAAAATCTCCGGTTTTTGCTGAGAAACCAGAATGCAAGAAAGCAAATGGGGATGGAGGGAAGGAAAATGGTAGAAAGAAAGTATCTGAAGCGGCACATGTACAAGAGATTTGTAGAGGTTCTCACCAGCTGTATGAGAAGCAAATAGCATCATCTAGTATTTTGGATCACTCTCATTCTTTAATTGGTTTTCAACATTGAACAATTAAAAGTATTTTGGACTGGATTTGTACATTGAACAATTAAAAGTATTTTGGGCCTTCAACTTCTTCGTATGAATTTGGTTATGCTTTTGGATTTTGTGTTTTAGAAGAAAAAAATATCAATGTAGGACACAACATGATATCGTGTAATTAAATAACAGAATTTCTCTGCCCTCCCAGTGAAAAATTTATTAGATGAATTTGGTTCACTACATCTTCCATGGTTTCAACCAATAATATCTATCTATTTTTTTTTCAAATTAAATCTTCATCTATTTTCTACATGTAAATAAGAAGTAAATAGTTATTTAGAAGTTATTTTAAAAATGATGCCTCTCATTTATTAGGACCATAGATGACGTGGTGAGTTGGTTTCATCAAATAATTTCTCCTCTAGTACCTCTTTTAGTACCCCACAAATTATTTTCCGACACGTGGATAAATATATTAAAGCTTAAATGCATCATTGCCTCCTGAATTATACTATTTATATCAAGTTAAACCCTAAAGTATTTTTCAAGAGTATTATGATGATTAAGGTTAACTAACGATAGAAAATATATTAATGGTAAAAATATATTAAATGATTAAATATTGTGTCAATATATTATTGGAGGGCACCAAAAGAGGTAGTAAAAAGGGGTGAAGAATTTATGTTTGTATTTAACATGTACTAGATATTGTCGATAGTTTCACTATTCTAATGATTGAGTGATATAAATAAGAAGTATATATTTTATATCATGTATTTAATATATATTTTATATCACCAACCATCATTTGATTTAGAGGGATGAGACATTAGATACCTTAAGCAATATTAAAAATTTAAATCCTTACCTTTACCAATAGAGTAAACTGGGTTGAGAGAAGTGTCCTTACTTATGAAATATTTAATCTGGATTGATCAATCAATAGACTATATACTAATTAATTAATTCAATTATATTTATGTCGTGTATTTAATACATCCTTTTTGTCTAAGATTTAAGCCCTATCCTCTCCATATATATTTACTTCCAATAATCTTTGTATTTTACCTATGTCAATGGGTAGAATCTAAGAGGAGCACCCTTAAAAGAAAGAGTCTTGAACACTTTACATCTCTTAATAATTTTAGAATTCAAAAAGGTATAAGGAGTGGAAAAATAACTTTGAATATTTAACATTTTTTGAGAAGTTACAAATCTATTAACATAACTTTTGATAGACTCATGTGATCTAAAAATTTTAAATTTATCTTCAATTAATTATATTCGCTTAATATGTTAGTTTAGAAATAATCATAATGATCTTATATCTGACACCAACTCCAAAAATTACTATAAAACCTTTCAATTGTGATCAAGAAAAATGATGAAATCACTTTAATTCATTCATCTCTTTTTTATCTTCTTATAGAAATAAAATGTTTAATCCATTTATTTGTATCAAAAAGAATGAACTACATAAAAATGTCACAATCCATTTATTCTTATCAATAATTTAATATATATAAATCATAATTTTATTACAACTCTTATTCCAAATTACAAAAAGACGTCAATCTAATTTGATGAACACAAATAACATTCTCTAGGCAACATGAATTTCAAAGTACAAAAACAGCGACGTAACGGGAAGCCCAGGGTACATACAGATATTAATACAAGCAAGTAGCGTTCTTAGCAATAATGAGAACAACATAGTGGGACAATGGGGACCTAAGCAACCGATGTAAAGTTGAAGTTGGAACATGTTGTTTGACGGAATAGTAGTGAAGAAGTGAATCCAAGCCTGGACACCGCTAGATCAAACTGCAAAAGATTGTCCTCCATTTGATGCCCTCCGATCCACTCCTCCGTCCACGAACCCTAAACACAACACATCATTTTTTACTTGCACCATTGAGTTTGCCCCAAATATCCCCCACGCCACCGTGTTTGGGAGCACAAGATCGATCAGTGGCACTGCCGGACGAACACGGCTGCGGCCGAAGCTTCTAGCATCGAAACATGTGCCGAAAGGAGCCACTGCTGCAACCCTATGAACCCCGGGAATTTGCTTCGTAAATGCTTCAACCACCGCTTTGTAGATTGATGTTTCCATTACGGTGTAGGGAGCAACGGTGCTGATCTTTGTCCCGCCGTTGCCTTCTTTGTTAATGGAAAGCAAAGTTTTGTTCAACGCCACCGGTTTTTCATTAACGGCGATGCCAGTGACTCCGATGAAGTAGTCTGCAGATGGCTCGCCTTGAACGGAAACCGCTGCGGTGCTGACGGGGTTGAGAATGAGCGGAGTTTATACGAGAGATTTCGAGACATCGGTGTTGAAAGGAAGGAAAGTGTAAAGCCCATCACCGAAAAGAAACACCAGCGGATCTAGAAATTTAATAATAGGGGTCCAAAATTTTAATTTTCTTTTCTTAAAAATAATGGGTATGTAAAAATTATAATTTTTTTTCTTTTTTCTTAATACATTAAGTTAAATTTAACCATTTTTCGAAAATAATGGGATGCATTTGAAATCTTTGTTCTACCTAGATCAGTCACACCTTGAACACCATTAGCAAGACCTTCAATGAGAAAAGACCTCTTCTTGGTTGTTAAGAGGCTGTTATCATTTATCTAAAAATACCACACCTTGTAAGTTCCACATCCGATACAATATCTTTTCTTCTTTGAATATTTACACGGGCAATGACCGAAACTTCTTAGATTTAAAGTTTTAAAACAGTGACATCAAAGCCTTTTTTGTTTGCCTGGACATTAGCTTTATCTATGCTCAAAAGCAATCTGAATCCCATATCAGCACCATGTTATAGACAAAATGTAAGGTTTACGTATAAAGATGGAGCACAGTCCAACTTTGAAACATACTTACCTGGACGGGGTCAATGGGCGATCAAAAAGACTCATGGCCTAGGGCAGTGACCTACATTGCACTTGGTAAGGGTGCTGCTCTAAGGTCTCCCCAAGAGGGAGAGCCTACGTCATAATTTGTGATAGTGGGGACTTGCGTTCGCGCAGTCCCTACTAATTTTCAGTTTTAATCTTTCTTATATATGCATTTAGTAGAATACTACATAGATAAAGCTGGAGAATGTTTGTCTTCTAGGAAACGAATCCCTTGTATTTAAATTACTTTAAGGGTATGCAGTCCGGAAATAATAGAAAATTATGAAATTCCATTTACTCCATTGATCGGTGAAATATTAATTGCTTGCTGAAGTTTGTGAATTGCGTGAAAGTGGGATACTCTAAATTCTGGGGGTTTCAATAGTATCACAAAACCTTCTTGGTGAATGGAAAAATTCAGAATTGAATTGGGTTCATGAATTCATAATTTCTCTCAAAATTGCAATATATCCAAAGATTCCATTTCAACTAGAATTTTGTCAAATTGCATAAAATGGAGGAGGAGATGAGACATATATGATTGAAAAGCCTGCCTGTCACTCTCGTTTTTAATGACAGTGAGTATATTCTGATGGTCTCAAGCATATTTAAGAAGTAGAGTTATAAGTATCTACCTCAAAGGGAGCCCTTCCAGAAATTCTTCAACCCCAAACAAAATCACATTTTATAAAATTACTCAGTGCATGGTTGCATATCTCCACCATTTCATCAATATCAACTGCAATAAGTGGACTTCTCTTATAATATCCAAAAATGTTCATGGGCAAATTCATCCGCATCCCATGTAAAACTCAAAGAGTTTGTCCATATCCAGGGTATATGATCTGACCTATTTCAAATCCCATATGGAATGCATAACCGAAGGGTGAGGCCGAGGTGCAGTATAAATGAAATGTCGAGTAAGTAACACTCTCATACCTTTCTCGGCCTTTTGGCTAAGATCAAGTGTAGTATCTGTTCTTATCAGTTTAATATCTGATACCTGGATTATTGATCCACATGGTATTAAATTAATTTTTATAGGGGAAGATCCCATCACAATAGCTTGCTATTGGGGTTCTCAAGTGTCGTCTGTGTATTGCACTACTGCACAGACCTGGCACACCCCTCCTATTCAAGTATATGTGTTGTTGTTTGTCGGCGAGATAGCTCATTAATATCATGGAACCCTGCTGATAATTATCGTAGGAAGATGTGATCGAGATTAATCTTATCCGATCAAATTCATCCTTAATCCAACGTATGCCTATACCTGTTGATTGGGATTTGAGTTTATGAGCTTGAGCAAAACTATTTCATGTTCCACACATTACTCTTGATCTTGTTTCTGTTTCTAAGCTAGCACATGGGAATTCTTTCTTTTTTTTTAGTTTCATGCTAATAAATGTTTTGTGAAGAATGAGTGTTCAAGTGACGTTTTGCTATTTGGATAGCTTGATGATGGATTTTACTGTTTCAACCAACCCTCTACAATTGGTTCTCTTGTCTCTGTTTGTCTTTTAACCACCTCCCGGCCAAATGCTTCGTAAGATCGGTCAAGTTATTGGTTGTGGCATCTTCGACTCGGTCACCGTCTGTTTATGTTGTCAAGTTAGCTCGACTGGGCATTCAACATTATGAGACTTGTCCACACACATCACAATAAAATGGCGTCATTGAACGTAATCATCGTCATGTTGTTGAAACTACGTTAACATTACTTGGGCAGGCCGGTATGCTTCTTTAATATTGATCGTTTGCAGTACTCAATTCGGTTTACTTAATCTAGCGTCTTCCTTTGACAGTGCCAGGAGGTGTTTCTCCTCATCAAGTGATGTATGAGAAGGCACTTGATTATTTGTTTTTCAAGGTTGTTCCTTTTCCTCTTCCTATTCAGGACGCTACTTTACCTGATGTGGTGTATGATGGTATTGTTCCTGTTTCTATTGCAGATGCTTCAGTTTCTGTTGAGCCTTTTCCATCACCCGCTGCAGCTGTCTCGACCGAGGATACAAATGGTACTTCTTACTAATGTTTTCTCGTCGCTTGTATCGTGTGTTCCTCTTATTCCTGCTAGTGGACATTCAATGACCACTACAAGTACTAAGTCTGGCATTTTTAAACTGAAGCTATATTGTGCTGAGTTTTCAGATGCTCCTGTCACAGTGCAAGAAGCTCTTAAAGATTCTCATTGGCGTGTTGTATATGAAGCTGAATATATGCTTCTTCTAGATAATGATACATGGAAGCTGGTTCCCTTACTTTCCAATCGGAAGGTCATAGGTTGTAAATGGCTCTTGAAGGTCAAGAAGAATCCAGATGGTTCGATTAGCAGCTACAAGGCTTGTCTTGTTGCAAAGGGATATTCCTAAGTTCCCGACTGTGATTTTATTGATAATTTCAGTCCTGCAATCATTTCTCTATTATTAATGTTCTCTTATCTATGGTTGCTATTCATGGATGAGAACATCCACATGATCTTAATAATGTGTTCTTGAAGGTGACCTATACATGAAGACGTGTTTATGGTTCAACCCCCTAATCTTGAAAAGCGTATGGTCGGTGGCACTAAAGTTTGATAGAGAATAATTGAACTGTTTTCTTAGTCATGATTAGAAATTTTTAATCCAATAATTTTCAAGCTAAATCGATAAGTACCTAGTAGATCTTCTTTAAATTTGGAAACCACGTTCAAAGCAATGATATTGTTTTGGATCTTTAAGACAATTAAAATAATTGTTTTCATTATGTTTAATCATTGAAATTTAAATTTCATAACGACAGCTAAGAATGGCATATCATATTTATGTTCAAAACTTAAAAATGTTCAATTATTTGTATTTTTTACAAATTAATTGTTTACATTATGTTTATATTTAATAATTGAAAATAAAATATAAAGCACATTTCACGTATTGGGATGAAAAATTTATAGGTAATAAGTATGATGAGGAAATAAATCACGTATCAATATAGGTAAAAATTGGATAATAATTTTGTAAAAGTAAAAATATGTGGATGTCTTTTTACCTATATATCATTGATCTTTCATTTTCTTGTAATACTTTTTTGTCTATGAATTTAAAAAAAACGCGTACCTGTTTATGTACTGTAAAAAACATCTAAATAAATTTTTATATACTAAAAGAAATTTATATAATAAAAATTATATTTTAGAAAAAATAAAGCTTTTCAGAAATTAAATTCGAAACGGATATCAATTAAAAATACTACTAATAATAACATTATATGCAAATTGTTATTTATGCAAAAATGATTAGCTTCAAATCTCCAAGTAACATCCTGTATGAACATGACCAGAGTATTCATGAGGGATCGACAATTTCGTCCAATCGTACGTCAGTAAGTTCAACACGTAAGCATTTTGGGGATCATCCAATTTTGAAGAACCAACCACCATTAACTTGTCATGCCACCTTGCCACGTAAGAATTCTTGCACACGTCACCAGGTAGCTTGGCAAGAACTTGCCATTTGGCGTCTTTACATGCCACCACGTCACCTTCGTAAACCATGTATACATCCACGTCATTACCAGATACGCAAGTGCTTGGACACGTGCTGGCTTCCAAGAAGTCTTCCTGCACGTGATCCCACCGCCACGTCGCGACGTCGAACACCTCGACAGTTCTCTCGAACTGGCCTTGCGTATCGGTGCCGTAGCCACCGACGGCGTGGAACTTGCCGCGGCGGAAAATACCCTTAACCTCGTCGCGCGCGGTTGCCATGTCGGGCAACGGAATCCATTCATCCTTGACCAAATCGTACGCCAATGCCGATTTCAAGGCATTCTTCTCCTCGTCATGACCACCGGCAACGTACACCATCGTACCATCGCCGGAAGCACAACCGAACATCGACCGCCGTACGCCGGGCATATCAGCTCCTCTCCGCCACTTGGCAGTCAAGAAATTGAATACAAAGACAGAAGCGGTGGCCTCCCAAGTAACCGGGTCCAATCCACCGATCAGCACAAGATCATACCCGACAGCAACCAGGTGGCAAAAATAAGGTAACCCATTATGGAACTCACCGGGAAGAACCGGAAAGTCAACCCAATTACCCGTATCCGGCTCCAAAACAGATAGCCCGAAGACAGGTTTGACTGAGCAGCCTTTTTGATGAGCATGTTTCACATCCGGATCAACCCGAGCTTGAGCCATGACGACGAGCTTTTGGCCGTGGGAAGTGGCTTTCCTTAGCTGAAAAAACTCGGGTTGCTCAATCTGGGTTTTCCAGCCTTTGCAGGTTGACAAAAGTGCGGCGATTTGATCGTACTTAACTCTAACCAAACACTCAAGGGCGACATCATTGGGGAGATTTGGGATCAGCTCCATTGTTAAATGTAGAAAAGGACAAAGCAAGGGGAAAGTTCTGGGTTTTGAATGTTAATTGAAGAACTGAAGGTGTTTTATATATAGAAGGAAGAAGGGGATAAAGTGAGCTAAATTGTTAACGTTGTTGAGTTCATGTCTTTTTAAAAGTGAAAAGACCATGGGGAGACCTTGAATAGCCGAACGGCCTGACGTTAAATTCTCAGATTTGACCTAAACTTTTTATATTGAATTGAGGCAGTCATGTCATCGTGTCTGCTACATTATTTTACCAAAATCAACTCCGAGTCCTGAAATATTAATGGCCAATCGGTTTTCATGTATTATTCTAATATTTCATGGCGCCGAATTCTTTTCTATGTACTAATATTCTAATATTTCACCTTTTTATGCATTTTAATACTTGCTATTAAAAATATATCGACAATAACTTTGAAATTATAAAATATATAAAAAAATTATCCCTCATGCATTACCATAATTTTTTTTATAAAAAGTCCTATAGCATTTTGAAAAACATTGTTTAACCAAGAGGACTAACTATTCGAGTAGGCTACGATTATATATTGTAAGTAATATATATTTTAAATACTCTTAATTATTTGATAATAAATGTTCAATCATTCATGTTGTAATCATTAGTACTCGAACTCGAAATCTTTAAAAATAATAATTATTTTTTTAAATTGAGACAATTTGATCGATGCAATCTTAATTTTGTAGTTAGTATTTATTACCAAAGAGAAAAACTGATGGGCATATGCAATGGATAGACAACTCAGTGTAATAATTGCTTTACCCGTAATCTATAACTTATGGCTATTGGTCAGCCTTAATTGATGCCTCAAGTTTAGGCTTCTTTTGTGGAATTAAAATATAATAATTTAGTAAATAGTAATTAAAAATCTATAAACTAGAGGGAGAAGAGACTTGCATAATTTAAGCACAAATTTGTGGCTGCTGCCAGCTTGTTCTCTTATTGAAGTGATTAGGGGCTTTTAGCCTTTTCTTTATTGAGACAATCAAATTACACCCTTTGACTCCGAACATAATAGAACAAAAATACAATTAGAGGCTTCAATTATCGTTTAATCACATATTAAAATATAATTATAAGTTTCAATCCCATTTTTCTTTTTATTTCTCTCTCAGTTTTTTTTTCTGTCTTTGAAATTCATTTTATGGTTGATATTCAAAATTCATGGTCTTTTCTTAATAATGCCAGTCTTCAATTTTCAAACGTAAGTAACGTGTCTTACTATTATATCTAGTATTTTTTTAATTAATTTGTGAACTCATCGTGACTTAATGATAAAAATGAGTATTGTTTTTATTAGACGACCTGAATTCCATTAGTTATATTTATAAGGCACGTGTATTCGAATATTGAATGAAGGGATTAAATATTACGACGGCTATACTTCTATTAATTATTTATTGTATTGAACTTAGTCGACTTTTTATGATTGATAGTATTCTTTCTCTTAAATTTAGGGTTTTGCCCCTTTTCTAAACCCTCACAAGTTGGACATTACACTTCTCATTGACCAATGTAAGCTTGCACCAACAAATTGAATAATAATTAGAGGTAAAGTCAATGCAATTAAATAATTAATCTTTCTTAGTACTGATTGTGATTAGTATAAAACTTCCCTAATAAATCGTCCATCTCAAACTAGAGCAGACAGAAACATGGTATCAACCTGGTCACGGATCTTTTAATTTTATCAATCAAACTATTTAATTATCTAAAGGATGTCAATAAAATCACATGTAGATAATATTGGACCGAGAAAATGATGTAAAGATTAATATAAAGTTAATATAATTGTATATTCAATCCTCATTATTTATATATCCTATCAATTTAACTTTAATTTTAATTTAATTCAATAAATTTAATCTTTAAACTTTAAAAATATTGTTTTTTATAAAATTCTAATATTTTAATAACTTTTAAAACTTTTATTATGTGACACTTTCTAACGGTGACATATGATGTTTTCTAGTTATGTCATGTTATCTTAATAGTAAAACCTAATGTTGAGATCTAAAATGCTTATGAAATATGATTTACATACATAGTTTGATCAAAATATAATTTGAAGATTGTTATTTAATTAAATTATATTTGAACATGAATTAACCAGACAATAAATATCTCCATAAATTATTTATAAAATGTAAGATATTGGTCGAGGTATTGAGTTTTCGAGTGATTAGATATTGTATTGCATTTAAATTTATATTTAATACAAATCTTGTCGTGTATAAACTTATTGAAATTATTTTTTATAACAAAAAGATGACATGGCGTCGGTTCAAGTACATATATAATTTATAAAGGAATAGAGTTTGCATAGGTGCTATAATAACATTTAAAGATGATACAAATCTAAACATATATCTTCTATTCAAGTGGCCAGGCGTGGAATTGGGAATTTATTATAGCGGGTTATAATTTTTTTTAATTGTGAGACCTGATAATTTTTTTTATTTATTTCTTAAAAATATATATTTTTTTCATATTAATTAATAATTAAAAATATAATTGGTGGGGGCCAAAGGTCCCCTTACCCTTCCCTTGGTTCCGCCCATGCTAGTGACGGAACTTAGTGGTAGTGTTTAGGGTTAACTTAAAATTTTTAAAAATTTAGAGGTTTATATTAAGATTTTTAAAAAATTGAAAATTTTAAAGACTTGATGAGATTTTTTTAAATTAAAGGGAGATGATTTAATTAAAAACATTCAAAAAAAATTAAAATTTATTCTGTATTCCTAAAAGTTTTGAGCAAGTCAAATTAAAAAATTTTAAGAGTTTAAATTATAATTTTTAAAATTTTAGGAAGCTATAACCCTTCTAGTCTGGTATGTGTTCTGCCACCGTCTTAGATGTTTAGTTCCATACTTCCATGAGGAATGGGTCAATATAATAGTATATTAAATTTAATTTATTTAACTTTTTAGGGAAATGTTTTGATTGGAAAAAGTTAATCCAAAATGACTTAAAAATTCAGAAATAAAATAGACAAATTTAATCTAAAATAATTCTAATAAAAGAAAAAGGTTTCCAGAAGGTGAGTATAATGCAACGTTGCAAACAATATTATCGAGATCTGATATTTTTCATTTATTATGCATTACAATATCATATATGTCAGCTGTCGAAGGTGACAAATGGGGCAATAAAGAAATACTAGATACAATGGACCCACGAATTTTTTTTTATCAAAAATGGGCGGATGATAATATGATATTTTTACTTTAATTGCATGCGGATTGAAATAAATAAATTGGAACAAGCCAAACCTTAGAGACACGGCCAGATGTGCTGTCCACACTTTATCAGCATTCCAAAATTTCAAAACAATAAGCAAAACAATTTTTTTAATCTTATCTCTTCGACTGTATTTGTTGGTATTATTAAGCTTTTTGAAAGCTTCCAGAAGTTTTGGTCCTTAAACTTCTAACTAAAAAAAAGGAAAAAGAAAAATATGAAATATGAGTACTCTGACTCTCCTCAACCATCTTACAGCTGCGTTTCTTTACAACTTATTTTTTAATCACATACATTTTGTTTAAGTTGGGTTTACGTTTGACATCAATTTATTAATCTAAATGTTTAAATAATATTTGTTTAATTTAATTATAAAATATTAATTAAATATATATGATTGATCCATATACCATAAATATTTTTAAAGATAAATTACACGATTACTCATTGAATTTTACTCTCTAAACCAACTTTCAACTAAAACTAAACCAACCCATATGTCTAAACCTGTAATATTCGTTTGAAAAATATATTTTACGATAAACCACAATAAATTTAATTTTATATTATTTCAATTTTAAAATACTCATAAAATCTGACCGAACCGGTCCGATCTCACCCGTGATCAAAAGCACCCACTCATGTGGAAGCTTCACCATCTCCTCCATAATGATACAAAACAATTGGTAGACGCCCGAAAGCCTATGAGGTTGATCCTCAGTGATGTCTGGTAAATAGTTTTCAGTTCTTAATGATCATCCTAAAAATTTATATGAAAGAAATATTACCCACGACAGATGTCTCTGCTAGTTCTACAACCAATGCACAACATACTTAAATCGAACTTAAAGTGTAAAATGAAAAAGATCCTGGGAACTAATGTCTAATGGTCAGTTCATCAAAGGATGCTAAACTCCCTCACAATCCAAGGGATTCATTATGAGCCATAAACAATTATGGTCATCTCAAAACCTGGCAGCCTGTTCAATCAGTTCTTTGTACTTGTCACTTACGAAAGATTTCACTTTGAGACCGTCAACCTTCCCCGGAGACTCATACTTTATCCCAATTACGGTCGCCAAACCTGTACAAACACAATAATTCTCTCACTGCAGATCAAATTGAAAATTAGCCATGTTTGACATTGTGCTTGAGGCCAAATGAAGGGATTTAACATTCGGAAAATTCTCTGCAAAGCATAGTTTCTTAATGACACCAGGTTGAGGGATACCAAAAATCAGATTGCCTGAAATTTTATGATAAGCTTTTATCTCCATAACTTAAACTACGGTGCCAAACTTAGGGCTGATATAATTTAGGCACTGATAGAAAAATAATTTGAGATTACGGGCTCATGCAACATAAGTTCAGTACAAAGTATATATATGAACTGAACTGAAAGTCTCAAACTACAACAAACTGAATACTTGTCATGAATAAAGTATTATACATAACAAATTATTGAAGTAAATATTCACCTTTAAAGAACAGTTTCAGTCATTCAGTGAAATTACCAATTCTTCAGAAAGCACGGCAGTTGATGTTTTAATTTATAATGGTATAATGAACTCCTAGCATAGTAAAAAAACCGTAAGGGAAGGTACTCACTTGAATGTACACGTCCATATAAGAATCTTTCACCTTTCCAGAATTCCAAAGGTCTTGACCTGATCCTTGTGCTTCGTCTCCTCCCTTCATCATCAAATGTTGTACCGGAACCTAGAAAGAAAAAACTCAGCTATTCATTCCAACAGAATTCCCAAATAGTTTTAAAGATGCAAGTTGAGCTTTTGGTATCAGTAGCACCTGCAAGGCTTTGTCTTCGAGAATGTGCTTTCCCCATACGTTTATTGCATGGCTGTGGTTGTATTTTGGCCTTCTTATTCTGTTGCTAAATAAGAAAATTAAAAAGTAGAAAAGAAAAAAACAGATGAACATGAGAAATTTTCAAAAGAACGAAAATAAACCAAAAATAGGCATCTGTTTTACTTATTTTTCTTCAGCAAATGCATGAAATGATTCCATTCATAGGTCTATAGGCAAGACTAATAAAATCTGAAGGGACTCCATACAGCAAATTGAAGCATGCTAAGTAAATACAAACATCTAAAAGAAATTGCCACTAATCTACAACCTTGTAACCTTTTTTATTCAAAATGACAATTATCCATTGCTCTGTAATACAGATGCATCATTTTCAGTATGTGAAGTTTACTACCAAGACTTCCGGATCAAGTTTCAGGCTTTACCTTCATGGTGGTTTTAAACATTTTCATTTTTTTTCATCAAACCCATAAGTAGTTAACAGACCAAAACCAGTTGAGATTCAGAATGATATGAGATAATGCTTATTCTTAGATACTATAATATATCAAAGTGCTTGTCATCCCTCAAATAGAGTTAGCAACATTGCGCCAGTCAACTGACAACTTTAATTATTTATCATGAACTAATGACAGCCAACAAAACACAAAATGTTTAAAGTTGTAGTTGTAGAAAAGGCAATAAACATTAATCCTACTATAGTCTAGGTGGAAATGTATCCAATTTCATTGCCGCAAAATCAATCTTTGGGCTGCAAATTTTAAAAGACTGGTAAATTAGAGAAAACATTTTGAGTTGATGTCAATATGTTATATGGCTCTTTCAGCATTGAGAGAGTATGCCAGAGAATACAAGACTCAGAAAATTTAGCAAAATCAGAGAAATAATCAAAATTCCGAAGATACAAAGGTAATAGTATAGCTTCTATATGTAATCCTAGAAAAACACCACAGAACTCCCTATCCATGTAAGTTGACTGCTAGATTAAGCGGAAATATAATCAAGACAAAGAATCTTGGAAAGTACAAACCTCGTGCAGCTGCTCAGCACTTTCTGCAGCTTTTGAAATTCCATTCATAGAGTGGTCCTCATCAATAGCAGGATTAGATTCATCTGTTAGAGGAATGGAAATGTACACAAAGGAAATTAACAAATAGAAACAATCAAAAGCATATCAATGATTAAGATAAATCTGATTCAAGATGTACCACGTCCAAGGCAACTAAAAGAAGAAATTTATAATCTACCGCACAGGAATGTGAATGTCACAGTTCGAATCCGACAATATTAGATTTTAAAAATATATTTTAACGATAATTTATTTAAAGCAAAACAACAGGTAAAATTGGCTCAAATTAGGTTATACTTCAAAGGCAGAAAATTACTGCCTGAACTATCTTTGGACTATAAGATGGGATTTCTGATTTATAACACAACCAGCAATGTGCTGTATATGTTAAACTAATCAGTTAAATGGGTATATCAAATATAAATTTGCATCTCTAATGCAATTTGTTTTTTCAATAGTACAAGGAAATTAGTCTTCACTGGCTAATACAAGGCAAAGCATGAAAATAGGAGATCCCCTCTGACAATAATCAGCAAGGCTTCCGGAAAGTTGACAAATGGTCAGAGCATGAGTATGGAAGGCTTTAGGATAGGCATCTTAAAATTCTACATCTTGCAGCAGTTACTTGAAGATCTCTCGGTGGAACAAACCCCCCAGTACATTAACAGGTAAGACCACCCAAAAGCACTAGATCTTTAATACATTAGCAACTAGCATAAGCAGCAAGAGTTTTCATGGACTGTCAACTGAAACTCAGGTTTATTTCCCATCGCATAATCAGAAAATAAAAGGAGAGACATAACCTAAAAGTAAAGGAAATGAAAACCGTGATAAAGCTCATAATACCACTCGGCATTCTCCATGCATCCATACATTTATAGGTGCTAAAAGGAAAAAGGCTAATAAGGAAAAAACTTTCTTTCTAGTTCGCAAAAATCATAATAAAACAACTTTGAAAGATGATAAGTATGCTAATATGCAACAAAAAGATAAACTTTATAATTCAGACATTTTAGTATCAGTCATTCGTTCACCATCCCACAACAATATCTCATTGAAAAAAGAGAAAATATTCATACGCGACTCTGTCTGAATGGCACCTGAGTTATCAATGGTTGAACCTTCCACGTCAACTTGGATCTGAGAAGAAACAACTGCTTCCAGTGGTATATCTTCCCCCTGCATTTTGTTACAATACCTCAGAGTATAACAATCAGAAACAAATATTTCCACTAAGCTGCAAATGACTCTCTCGAAAAACTGATAGGAAAGCTCACCATTCCAAATTCATTTGGTTGGATTGTATGACTATCTGATTCAGTTTCAGGCCTTCTTAAACTGTTATTCTCTAAGTTGGTCTGAGATCCACTAGATGCATTTATACCAGAATCAAACCTTGCATTATCATTTACAAATTTGTCAAAGAAACCAGCAAAGTCTCCCCCATTGAGCTCAGAGCTTGCATAAGTAGTCGCAATTCGATTTGCTTCTAATAATGGAGACCTTAGGAGATGAGACTTGTCAAGATCCATTTCACCAGCCTGAATAGATTGTTTATTGACACTTTCAATAAGAGATGCAATTCCCACAGGTGATTGATCAATATTATCAGTTGATAAAGCATTGCATTCTGGATCTGACTGCAACAACTGTTTTTGCTGCAATGATACTGAAGCGAATGGATTTCTTGGAGGTGTAGGAGAAGCTAAATTAAGAATTGAACTTTCTGGCTGCTGTTGTGGTGTTTGTCTATCATTATTGTCAGACACGCTAGGTTCCTTCTCTATAATAACCTGATCAGATTGTTTACTGTTACTTTCAATGCCAGATGCATTTCTCACTTGTGATCGATTAGCATCATCAGTTGAAAATGGATCAGTTAGAACATCAGACTGCAATAGCTGTTTCTTCAGCAATGAAATAGAAGCCAATGGACTTCTTGGTGGAATGGGAGAAGCTAAGTGATTATCTGAAGTTTCAGGATTTTGTTTCCGTGTCCTTCTGCTGAACCCTTTCATCAAACTTTCTATGTCCGATAGCGAGTTTCTAGGCTTTGCCAAGCTTTCTCTGGAAACCTTCAAATCAATCTTTCGAATATCTTGCAAGTCAGGAAGGCATATATTCTCTAGATCAAGAGGTTTGATCTGCAACCGCTCTTGAAGAAGATTAACTGTGTCATCCCCATCGCATGTACTGGTAAGTAAATGGTCCAAAAGTTCACTAACCTTGTTCTCTACGTTGGCCACTAAGACAGAGCACATAGCATTATGTTATTGCATGCACATAGCAGGGGTAACTTGAAACATAATGAACACAAACATATACAAAAATCAATTTATATGGCAAGTCAGTTTTAGTCTTTCAAATAAGACATCAAGAATGGGATAACAGAGACATAATAAAGTAAAACATTAGGGCAAATCAACCTTTCCTGACTTACCACTCAATTCCTTCTCTTGTAATTCAACATTCGGGTCAGAATTTTCTGGTTGCAAATTGCAAACTGGACTGGGAATTTCCTCCTCAAAGCTTTCCACAGGGGAGAAAGCAGTAGAATAGCCATGCTTATATTTAACTGATCTCCTGAACATAAATTTATAAGGCTATGTTAGATACAAGTATGCCAAAGAAAAAATTGAATACAAGTATACAGCAGAAATTTGATAACAAGAAACATTGATCAAACCGCATCAATCCAGGACGACGAGGCCGTGCAAACATGGATGGATTATTCTGATCCAAATCCATCAGAACAGTGCCTGTCTGCTTCTCTATCTCTCTTTTGGCATCTATATAAAACAATACATAAAAACATGGAAAAGCTATGTTCATAGATATATTAGCAGATTATATTTACCGATAAAACAAAAATGAAATCGAGCTTACTCTCAGCCCTTTCAAATGCCACAAAGAATTCTTCGGGATCTGTCAATTTATCCATGTCTAAACTCGGTTCCAAATTCACAGCAGGCTGACTATAAAAAATTGAAGAAATGCAATGAAATTCAACATACGTTACCACCAAACTAAAATAAAATCAAGAAAAAAAGCAGTTTCAAATAAGATTAACCTTGAGTTATCTTTCAAAGAGAAACGAGGTCGTTTACGACCTAAAGCCGGTCTCCGTTCACGAGGATGTTCCATAAGTTCAGCATCAGAGCTAGACACTTCCAACTTCAAGAGCTCTGGACTATTATCTACAATCGCTTTGGCTTGCTCTAGGAGCTTATTAGGACTTCGCACCGGCTGAAAATTTATCCAAAAAAAAATCAAATCACTAGGCTGGTATTTTTCTTATAGTGCAAAACAATAGTAAAGTATTTTTAGGGCAAGGAACAAAATTCAAGAAACAAAAGAAGAGGAGAAACCATGGATTTGAGAAAACCGTGAGAGAGTTGAAGATCGGCCGAGTCGTGAGGTGGAAGAGGGTTTGGAAAGGAAGCGAAGGTCCGAGGGAAGAGCGAGAGACCCGAATAGGACTCTAGCGGATCCGAAGGGAGAGTTTGGAGAGGCATTTCTTTGAGTTGATGGGATTGAGATTGGTCCGAGTGTTGACTCGGTCGAGTCTGAAGAGAGTGGAGACTGCAACTTTTGGAAGGGGGAGTTTTGAGTTTGTTATTTGAAAATCAGAAACTGCGCGGGATTCGAATGATATGGGATTTGGCTCAGACGAGTTATGGTTACTGTGGGCTATACGGCGCTCTATTTTCTGTTTGCAAATTTATTTACAGCTTCTCTCACCGCTTTCTTTAAACATTGGATGATTACAATTAGATTTTATGTTTTAATAATTAGTTCTTAAACTATTTTATTATTTATATTAAAATCTGTTTATAATACATAAGAAAATATTTCAATTAATAATATAAAATTTTAATAAATTATGAAGTGATTAATTTATGTAATTCATAAATTAATGATAAATAAATAAATAAAATAAGAGACATAAAAATATTTAATAAATAAAGAAGATGAATAAAAAAAACCTCACAAATCCCCGAATTAATTAGAGAAAATCTAATAAAAGAATAATGTTTTTCCCCTGATGATTTTTTATATGGTACAAATTTTAAACTGTAAATTACATAATTTTAATTAATTTTAATAAAATAGAGATAAAAGTTTGAATTATATATTTAAATCAGTCTGGAGATGGAACAATGTGTTGGGACACCGGCAAGTATGGAACAATGGGGAAAGGATTGGAGGTGGAAGCATGACGGTAGTGGTGGATTGATCATATGGTGCACCTTTTTATATGATTTTATGGGTTTCACGATTATACAAAATTATTTTATCAAATAATCTTATCATAATATCAATTTAATTCATGATATAGAGTGCTATGCTTCATATTATTACACGTGTCGTTTACGATCATATGTGATGTGATGGCTAAGCAAACATATTCATATAATCTCAATGATAAAGTTGTTTATTCGTATAACTAATTTGGCATGATAAACACATACATACATGTGAACTAAATGGAAATTCATCATAAATAAAACTAGTTAATGCATTATGACTTTCAAATCATAAAATATAATTTAGCAATTACCGGTGAAGGAAGAAGTGAAATTTTCGGTTTGTTTCTTTTTCTTTTCATTTTTATTAATCCACGGTGATAATTTTAATATTGATTGCTCATCGTTAATATTATTTATTGTCATTTTTTTTAATTTTTAATATGTATCTCCGGAGGACACATTTTTTTGTCTTTTGGAATGTTTTTATATCGTTTGGTTGTTATTTCCAGTTATCTTTTTTAGGGTTGATTTGGCATCTTCTCGACTGATCAAGATGATACTTATTTGGTATATTGTTGATTTTCCTTACTTTGGACCCTAAGATTGATTTTGGATACTCGTTATGCGTTCATGGATAGCTTTTCTCGTCGCTCAAATCTGGTTTGTGGGTTGTATGTGGTCTTTCAGTAGATTAATTCCCTTTTGTGGTTTGTTTTTCGACGCGATCACATCTATTTACATCTATCTTTGTTCGAGTTTCTTGGTTAGGTATTCATTTTTCCTTGTATGATCTTTATATGATCTTAAGTTGCTAGTTTTATTTCAATAATTATAGGAAATTATTCTAATTATACGCTTAATTTAATATTATGATTGTAAATCTTTATTGTAATTTAGGATATTCCCTATTTTGAATAAAATCAGTGGCTTTTATAAAAAGAAAGCGAACTTTTTAATCTTCAATCTACAACTTTGCTTTTTTCAAGGGATTTCGGTGATTAATGAGAGTGTTGTTTTTCTTAATAGTCATGAGTTCAAACACCGCTTTTCTATGTGAGTAAAATATCAATGATTAATTTTAAAAAATATATATATTATCTTATAATCACCTTAAATTATTTAAAATAATAATAATAATAATTTCACATCTATTTTAGTAGCTTGATACAATAATATTGATAACATAACTTATTAAATTTTGTATAGGATTTTTCCAAACTACTCCATTTAAACATGAATTAAACTTGAGACATATGAAGAACGAGCTAAGGAAGTATATCAGTTTGTTTCCATGATTATTGATTAATTCTCTTTAATGATTTCATCTAAAGCTCAGCTTTATTTCAGGAGGCAGAGGAGAAAAATGAAGAATCAAGTGCCAGTGGCAACTCCAAGTTTGGGAAACGACATATTAAATCTGTAGATCCAGATCCTCATGGAGAAAAGTTATTGAAGGTTACCTATTATTATCTCGTGTTATGTTTCAGATACCTGATTGAAGGCCTTTTGTGTTGTATAGACACGTTTCTTTACTGCCTATTAAGCTACGGCTCTGTTTAATGTGACTTTTATAGACGGAGGATCCCTTGGCAGAAACATCTAAGTATTTGAAATTGCTTCAGAAGCACTCACCTGATTCTTTGGAGACACACTTGCTCTCTTTTGAAGCAAATATGAGAAAACAGAAGATTTTGCTTGCCTTTGAGGTATATTTATTTTCCAAGAACTGAAATGAGTGTACTTCTCTTCATTGTACTTTTGTTTGTTGAAGAACGATGGTTTTTCTCAGTTGTCCTTTTATTAGTTCAAGATCTCATATTAATGAATGTGTTGCTTTTATTTTCTTTCTTGTGAAGGCTGTGAAGCAACTGTTAAGGTTGGATGCTGAGAATCCGGATTCGCATCGCTGCTTGGTATTTGACATCTGCTATTTTGCATTATAATTATTGTGCACCATCATGGACAAATACTTTTTTTTTTTGACTTGGATAGAACGATCATCTAGCCATTATGCTTCTCATTTGAATTTAATGCAATGCACAGATTAAATTTTTCCATAAGGTGGACTCGATGCCTGCTCCAGTGACTGATGCAGAAAAGCTTGTTAGGAGTGTTTTGGAAGCCGAGCACCCATCTATCAGGTTCTCTTTGAAATGGCCTTATGATAGTTATTCTACCAACTGGAATTTCTTTTTATTATTAGTATTACTGTTTTGACGTTTTGATCCATGATGCATTAAATTTTTTATATGATATTTCTGCTGTCAATTGCAGAACAAAACTCTTAGTGAGGCAAACAAAGTTTTCCTTGGTAAACATGAAGGTATTGTGATTACTTGATGTGATGTATTTTAGGCTCCATGAGGTAGTTTGTATAATTGTTCAATATACACGTCTTTGTTCTGCAGATTCTTTGATGCATAGAGTGGCAGTTGCAGAAATGTTGAATATCTTGGAACCTGCTAGGAAAATCGAAGCTGTTAAGTTAATTGAAGATTCATCCAATAAAGTCATGCCAACATAATGCTTTTAGTGTATCAACTTTTGTGACCTTTTGATGTTGATTCCATGCCAAGCAACTTGCTCAAGAAATTAATTGTTTCTCTTATCTTATCCAGGAATGGAGCATTTGGACCCGTAATGGAGTGGAAACTTAAGGACTGTATTGCAGTCCATAAACTCTTAGACAAAGTTCTTATTGAGCAAGATGCTGCTTTGAGTAGGTATATTTCTCCAGAAATAGGGGTTCACAAAAATTTTGACGACTCCATTAACAACTGGAATTAATTGCTATGTTATTTTCTCAAGTGTTTTGGAAAGTATCTTAATGGTATTGAAAATTTGGCATACTTTTATTATATATAGTAGGATTAGCTGTCCAAATTTAATATGTTAAATTATGTCTTTTCTTTATATATACGGTTTCAACATTATTCAGTGTTTTTCTTATGTTTTCGAGATTCTCTGATTATACCCTGTTTGTAGACACTGCCATAAACTTCTGTAGACAGTTTGTAGTAGCTATCTGCTTAGGTTTTGATATTTCTTGTTTCCATTCTCATATGCTGACTCGTGTTTGGTCTGCATCCTTTTGCACATTTTCATTAGAAGAGTCGTCAGACCTTGATTATATATGACAAATTGTTATACAGATAGTGGATATTTGCAGATCTGGTGGTATTGATAGTTTGTTCTGCAACTGGTGAAAGACAATTTGTTTAATGTAAAGAATTAATGATTTTGGCATGATAACTTTAGCTTTAACTGCAGGATGGAAAGTGAGATGTGCGGAGTACTTCCCTTACTCCACCTACTTTGAAGGTAGTCGCAGCTCTGCTGTGCACAACTCACTGAACAATCTGGACAGCAATACCACTGTGAATGGTGGTGCAAGCCATCCTGAAATCGGTGAAGGTGAAAATTCAGTCGCATCAAATGGAAAGCTGGAAGCATTTAAGAACCTTACCATTTGAAGATGGTAATGCTTATGTGCGCCGAGTGACATCAGAGCTCAATGTGTTTGTACTGGTGGATTGAATCCCGTTAGTTTTACACTGCAAAGAGTGCCTTTGCAGCTGCTGCTGGGAAAGAGAATATTGTGTTAGCTGTCAAAGGCATTCCTTTGCAAATGTGTATAATTTATTTGCAGTTATGATTTTAGGGTTGAAGATATATATATTCCCTTTTAATTTCCTCACCCATTTGGTTTAGTAGGTCTGTGGCTCCATGGCTGTGCCCCAAAACTTGGGGGTTTGGCCATATAGAGAATTTTTGGGTAATGGTTCTGAAATCTTGTTTCTTAGTCTATGACAGTGTACATGCAATCTACTGAAGCTACTCGATAGATTCTGAATCAATGGATTATGGATTGAGGATTTCTGAATTAGGTAAAAATGGTTAGTACTATATATTGTTACTCATGTTGTAATGATGAGAGCAGTAAGTTTAATTGTAAAGCAGCAGAGGCCTCAAGTACCATCAATAGATTTAAGACGATTCAGGTTTGTTTACAAGATGGTAAAGGCAATATGGCGTTGAGCAATAAAAGCAAATTTCATGGCAAAAATAGTTTAGGGAAAAAGAAATGTGAAACAATCTGTGTTATTTACATAGAACTACAAACCTTTTTTCATAATATACTCGCTGTGTATACGAGCTGGTGCATGGGATACTGTCTCTTTGCCGACGTTCAACTTGAGCTTAAAGCGCAAGAATTCACGGAACCAAGTATTGCTCTTCAAGGTTTTTGCATGTCACGTTAACGATCACATAAATTGCAACAGCAGCGGGAGTTGAGCACCAAAAGCATTGAAGATACAGTCCCCTCCTCAAGTGTTCCCTTGCCCATCCTCTTCCTGTGCTTTCATTGATTCATCTCTCCAGCCAATGGTGGAGCACCAACGCATTCACCAATCTCGCTTTTACATAGCGGACAAGTTGCATTGATTTTCAACCACTTGTCTACACACTCTACATGGAAGACATGCTGGCATGGCAGCTCCCTCAGCTCGTCTTCATCAACGTAGTCTACTAAGCAAATGCAACAAGTCTGCAATACCCCAACTAAGTTAGCTGCATTATTTTCCTAAAGACATCCAAAAATACTCAAATAACCATATCACGATTAATACACCACATTTATCGAATGAATCCAACAAAAATGATCATCAACTTCAACTCAATAAGTTCTACAGTTTTAGAGCATAGCTAACCAGAATTGTACTTCATAAGGTAGAGCAACTAAGGGTTCAATTCAGCAAGTTAAACTAAAAGAGACAAAACTACCCTAGATGCTCCGAAAGATCATTATATATAGAATTAGCTAGTTCTAGAAATGCATGTTCAAGAGGGTGCAGTTTACATGTAAAGACCAGTAATCTGTCAGCAAATTCTTAGCATTAAACTTACCGCATCTTCTCCTGATATCACACGTTCCTTTTCTGTCCTAGCAACCAGGATTCCACCTTCACCAGCTGAATCTTCCTCATCATCGACGGTTCCAGTTTTCTTGGATTTAAACTTGTAGATTGGCAATGCATTTATAGATTCCTTGGTGGCTCCTCTAGTTGATGAAAAATCCTCCCGAGCACCAAGGATAGTAATTATGCAAGGCAGGCAGCAACAAATGGTTGCACATAGGATGAATGGCATTGCATATCCGATACAGCTAAAAGTAAGGAACACAACACATAGTCTGCAATGAAACCAATAGACAGTTCACTAACCGTTAAGAAATTGTGATTCTCAGTCAAAGCAGAATAATCAAGATTTGGTCCACGTCATACCTGTACAGTTTGGGAGCATCAGAAGGAGATGCATGGCCTCCAAATATCCAAACACTGCCAATAACAAACCATGCAGCAAAAAAACAATCTAGGGCCATCTTCCAATGTTCAACTAATCCATTGAGCCTGGACATTTGATGCCAAATCTTCAATCAGTGACATCTAAATGATAATATGGTGTACAGAAACTTCTGAGATACTATAACAAGAGCTAAACCTTTGTCCAACAATGATTCTACACGAAATCAACCAAAAAATAGAGGGAACCAAAACATCTTTTAATACTGCTATAAAATATACTATTAATTACCATATTCATCAATAAAGATAAATCCAAGGAAGTTTATGATGCAAAGTATTTTCTAATCCACTCTATAACTTTATTGTGTATAAAGTTAGAACAATGAGGAGATTTTTAACCCAAAAGTAGATGTAAAAAATAAATGGAAGCACACCTTGTGCTTGAGGTTCCTGCAATCTGAGTGTTCCCTGTTGCTGATTCAGTGTTCCCATTATTCCCCTCGTCTGAAGCTTGAGTAACTGAGATAGGTGTATATGTCGTAGACTCATCGGGATTGCCAAGAGGAGAATCTTGATGCGAGTGTGATACATCTTGCTCACTAACCCGATTGCGGTTCAGAAAGCGCCAATAAAGAATAGGAAGTGTTGCAACACAACCAACTGCATAACCAACAATCCATGCAAACAACGGAGCTTGTGGCTTTTCATTTATTGACAATGATAGAACAACAACAGATGCTATAATCTGACTGAGAGTGACAACTAACTCAACAGATATCCATAATCCTGAATTTAAAGGGTTCCTGCGATGACGGCCATACCCATCACTATTCCTCGGGAATGATGCAGTCCTTGAGTTTAATCTTTGTAAGTCAAAAGACACCCGATTTGTGGGAGTTTGTGAGCTGATTGACGGCCTATCTTCACTCTGTCTCAAGTCCACTCCCAAAGATTGCTCATCATGAGACCTGCTTGATGAAGAGCCACCATGCCTCATGATGTCAATTATATGCTCCTGATCATTATGGTTTTCCACACGATCCATTAGCAATGGATATTGGTCAGTTTGCTGTGTGCATTCTTTTGGAGAGGAAATGCCCATCTAACTCTGGCGATCCAATTAGAAGGTATAAAAGCGTAGATCGCTAATAGACTTTTTAAATCTATACAGTTTCCCCTCTCTAGACTTTGTAAGCTGTGCCAAGCAACTTAAAACACTTGGCACTGCAAAAGCTACAACAAATCTACCAACTTTATTCCCTCTTTATACACAAAAGCTGTCACAGAATAATGTGCAAAATCAATCATACTAATCAAGCCAACAATACACGTGCCATGAAATTTCAGGGAGAGCCGTAGCATGTATGTAATTACTATGAAGTTATAACATGGCTACAACATTGCATAACTAGACAACAAATCAACCATAGCATACAAAAGATTTCATTTATTACAATGTATCAATAAAATCACTATGTGAGGTCACTGCAACATAAACAAAAGAAGCAAGATCCTAAAAGAGCAAAGTATGGCGCAATACGACATTAAGCACTAGCAAGGCTTTCAGAAGAAAGGATCATTCATACCAAAGTAAACTAAAACTACTCATAAATAAAAATCCAAGCAAAATAATTCAACTTTTTAAATAATCAAGATAAAGGTAGAGAGATATTACATTTCCCGTTATAATTTTCAATTTTGATAACTCAAGATGCTATTAGCATAATATTTTCATCATTACTTGACCTCAACAAAATTTTATATATTAAGCTATTATTCAAGCAAATTCAATCAATACATTGATGAACCATAGGAAAAGAAAACGAAAAACATTTTTAGTTTTGCAGAATCACGATAGATAACCAGGAAATTAAAGCCTTGAACAGAAAAAAAAATTTAGAGAAAAACATAGGAACCTTACGAAAGATTTCGAATGATAAATATACGAAAAATGAATGCAAGTAAACCAAAAAAAAATCGAGATTTTCAAAGGATCATGATTAGTGTAAACCAAACATTACATTTCCAGTAATAAATTTGATGATCCGAGACGTTATTAGCATAATACTTTCAGAATGCCTTAACGTCAACCGAAAACAAGTAAAATTTCAATATCTATGCAATTGTTTAAGAAAATTAAATCGACCCATTGATCAACAACAAGAATAAAAAAATCATTCTTAATTTTTCAGAATCAAGATAAATTAACAGCAAAACAAATTCCTAATTGAGAAAATATGGAAACAATAATTAGAGAAAAATGTTAGGAACCTTGCCTAAGATTTTGAAAATAAAATATCGGATAATTTATCGAAGAAAATGAAAAGAGAAGCTCCGATAAACTGAAAAAGCATTTGAATTCAAAGCCCAATTATTTTTCTTCCCTTTTCTCTCGTTTTTCCTGAGAAAATATAGCGTCAGCTTTTCTGCTCCATTGCTTACGCCAACACAGAGAGAAAGAAGCGTTTCTTTCTTTTGATTTATACTCCGTTTTTTTTAGAAAGAAGAGAGAAGGGGAAATTGTGAGAAAATTCGTGGACCGTTTGATTAATTCAATTGGTTGAATTCTCTTTTGCGATCTACGGATCGGATCTCTTTGAGATTGCCCAAAATCTATTTGTAGCATTTGACTAATCCACAACAAAGGTTATCAATGGCTTCTATTTTCTTTTTCTAAAGATATTATAAGTAAAATTATATTCTCATCAAAATAAATCATTATGAAATGTGATTAAATTGATAATTCAAATATATTTGAAATTAAATATGAGTAAAATAAATTTCCATTTCATTTTTTATGATATATTATTGAAAAATCAGACTAAATAACACAGAAAATAAACGAATAGAAAAGAAAATAAATAACACAATATTTAACGAGGTTCGACAAGATGCCTATGTCTTAAGGTGCCTACGTCTTCAGGTGCGATGAGTGGTCGTTTTCTTATTATTAGCAATAATAATAATAACAATTAGGTTTTAATTACATAATATAAAAACAACTCTGATATAATTACCAAAATTACCCCGTACCCTAAATCCAAAATCTCTAATTAAATTTGTAAAATATAATTGATTTATGTTAGGTATGGCTTATACCTAACAAATCTCTACCTTAACGAATATCCTGTCTCCTAGAAGATGAAATAGAAAATCGGGAGTTTACCGAACATCAAAGTGGGTTGAGCTATCACGTTTCTCTAACAACCGTAACATTCAACAAGTCCAAAAAATGCATAAACTTGTCCGTAGTAATTGGCTTGATTAACATATCAATTGTATTCTCAATAGTATGAACATTATTTAATAATCTCTCTAAATAAAATCAACTCTTTAATCTTGTGAAACCTCACATCAATATGCTTAGTTTCACCCACCATCTCTACCGCATGCGATCAGACCATGGACCGCTTTTCTTCTGTGTGGGGAGCTCTTCCAAA